TCTTTATTACTTCAAAATGAGTTACAAAGGTTAACCTAGACTATTACGTCAATATTAATGCCTAGCCTAGAAACACGGACGTTACATCCCTTTACAGAACAAGCTGTTACCAAAGCAAAACCCTATGAAAACATGGTCACACACGACCCGAGAATAGGAGAACGATCGATCTCTTGATCCAATTTGAAGGCTATAACCCAAAAAGAACCATGCACATAATACGAACCAAGTGCTCCAATGCTATCTTTCCCAGCTAACATATGCCCCTCTCGACAACATATATAAATTTACCACAATGCACATCCTTAGGGAACCCATAACCTCATCCAAAAGGGAAGAAATACCAAAGTTTAATCGAAACAACACCTCAATCAATAACAGAAGACATCCTCATGATCGATCGAAACAAGATCCCATACTTGATTGAGACTGAACAAATTCCACCAATACGAAACTAGCTCGAGAAGACTTCCAAGGTGATCCTGAATGTTACCAAAACCTGAGTCTGCTATGAACCAAAATTCCACTCCACCATTGAGGGTAAACATACCCAAAGACCAAAGGAACATAGAACATACTGGACCTGATGATAGGTTGACCCGTCCATTGAAATTTAACTGTCACAACTTGAACTTTCAGAGAACCTATGCTGAATGATGAATGAAAAGACCAATAATCGAGACTGCATTGACAACTAACCCAATAACCCAATACGTCACTTGCGTAATATCCCTATGAACCATTCTTACAACATAACAAACTCAAACAGATCAGTGATCCTCCAAGCAGAATACCTAGTTCTCCCTCACTTAGGGTTCAAACTAGCACCCACTGGTGTTGCGAACAAACCACATCTCAAACCAACTTAACCAGGTACAACCACCCTCTACTCTTTGAGTGTATAACACACGCAAGATGATCTTCCAACTAAGGATCAAACAAATCCTCAGAGAATCCTGAATTTCAGCCGAAGACCTCTGAAATTTTCCAATCATGCAAAAGCTTAAGCAAATACCGACTTACGATCCAAAACATACCCTCCTTGCCTACAATCCCAACCATTAATCCGGTACTTGACCTGCCTATAACCAAAGAATACGAACCCTTGATCGCATCACAAGACATCCATACCACATCCATCCACCTGCGTACTTCCAAGCTGACATACTGCCGCCAAACACCACGATCAACAGATCCCATGTAGGGTTTACATCCCAGCTCTGACAGTCACAAGCCTGCTCACTCCTTCTCCGAAATTGGAAAACTGAAGGGACATAATCCCTTGACGTATATAGCGACAATCCAATCCATCAATCCACCACTTCAATTTCCGGTTGCAAACCCCAAGCCGATCATAACAATCGTTTCCTTCTTGAGTACTACGACTCAATGCACGACCTTGAGAAAAACCTCGAGGCCTCAAAACCCACAAACTCATCGAGGTCTGAACCAATCAATCCAAACCGCTATATCCACTGGGGCTCAAAACAATTACCAGACATATCCTTATGCCTGAGCATCCATAACCCAAAGGTCGACAGATACGGAACCACTGCCACGAATCATGGTATCAAACCATGCTATCTCTCCCGACCAACCCTTAGAATCCCCGAAACTCTCCTTGATTTGAGTTTTGATCCCATGCTTCCAGTAGTACGGTCCCAATACTACCTTCCACACCTATCTATACTTTCCTTAAGGATCATCTCGGGTCCTCTAAGACCTATCCATAAAATACTCCCGATACCTGCTCCACAGCGAAACAACCGCACTAAAACACTTCCTAGGCTCTCCTAGGTTTCCCCCACCTCCCCTGCCATCAGTTGCTGAAGAATCCCCTACTAGTGTCAGCTAACCACTTCATGAATACAATTACATGCAACAAAGGTTAAATAATCTTTCGACTAAAGGACTCAACCCTACAACGGTTGGACTCAGACCAGAGCTGTGCAATAGGTCCAAGTCCTTCATTATGAGATTATTTAAACCTTCATACATGTAATTTAATGTATTCATTTGGTGGTTAACTCACATCAATATGGGTCCCACAAAGCACAAAGCAAGCAACATTCGAACAAAGGAGCTGACTGTCACTAAGACACAATAAAATTAGGCAGATCCTCATACGAAATTCTCGATCTCTTAATCCAGCATCTCGGATACACCTTCATCTTGCCCTCACCCTCTCAAGAGTGGCTAACCATTCCACACGCTATCCAGCCACGAACTGCACCCATTCATGAAACTTCCACTAACCATGCAGCCACTCGTGCATGCTAATCAAATAACGCTGGATCCCATAGACAGTCAAATATTTGACTCTACTCTAAGCCCTTAATCAGAGAATAGCAGGAAGTAAAGCTAAATCAAACATTCTCGGGCTATAGAATCTTTTTTATGTACAACTATGATGCACACACTAAGTGACCACAATAATGATGTCAATTTCATATAAGAAAGAACCCTAGGCTATCATGCATCATATAATCAGGCAATTCTATCATGCAATTCATGAAGATCCTTAGCCCATCTCTAGCATGCAGTTCTAACATACCATGATATCAAATAACAATATGGTAATTTGGGGTCTACTTATTGGCTACGACTGATCGTACACATCGCATCCTCTTTTGGTTATTTTGAAAGCAACTTTGAAAATTATTTGTAAAACCCTTACTTTGAAAATCATTTTTAAAACCATTTTATTTAGTTTGAGACTACATTCACACGAGTGTTCGTCCAATTTACTCAAACCAAGGCTCTGATACCAACTTGTAACATCCCAAAAATCTCAACAAATTTAAACTTTTCAAAACAACCCATTTACTAATAAAAAAGTGTTTACAAAACCATTTTTCCAAAACATGATTTAAAATTAGAGTCTCCCAAGATCCAATCATTTGTAAAACCAAGGATGTATATGGTCACGCCTCTGCCTTGCCACCACCATCTGAAGCACCTGAAAACAATAAACTGAAACTGTAAGCACAAAGCTTAGTGAGTTCCCCCAAAGTACCAACACACAAACAGATAACATATACAAATAACATCATGTATTGGGTCCACAACTAAAGACTGGATTACCCCTGAGCCCACATCATAAGTCTGGCTTGCCCTCAGGGCCCAGAACTTATGTCTGGCTTGCTCCCTGACCAAATCAATCATCGGACTGAATACCACCAAGCCCTCCGTGGGAGTCTGGCATGCCCTACCCGACCCTCAGCTCGTATCTGGAATGCTCATGAGCCCTCAATATGAGTCTGGCATGCCCTACCCGGCCCTCAGCTCATATCTGGATTGCTCCAGGGCTTGTTGGCTACTGCACGGAGCAGTGCAACCTCAACCCAACCCACACAATATGTCGACATATAACATATACTAACATATACAAACAATCATACAGACAGTATCACAGGTAGTCCTACCGATCTACCAGACTAGCATATCAACAATAGCATCCATATCTATTCCACACTCAACATATCAACGAATATCAGGTTATCAAACCAATGGGCCGACCTTGGTGCCTTCGACCCGAAAACACAGTGAGTAAAACTCACCTAAAGCGGCTGAATATGTCATACCAATGCTCGGACCGCTGATCCGGAAATCCCCGTGCGCTAGCACCATCAAATATCACCCAATTAATAATTGAATCTCGACCCATTAAGAAAATATAACCATATCTACTATAATCATCACTAAATGTAACGTCGTAGTGATTTCCATCCTCCGTGGCAGATCTGAATGGTCTACACATATTTGTATGGATGGGGGCCAAAAATCCTCACCTCTTTCACACGTACTAGTGAAAGGTGATTTAGTCATCTTGCCCATTAAACAAGACTCACATTCATCGTTTAGTTTTAGGTCAAACGATTCCAACACTCCATCCTTTTGGAGTTAGGAGATGCGTTTCTTGTTAATGTGCCTAAGACGATAATTCCATAGGCATGACTTGTCTAAACTATTAGAAGAACCAATACTATACACATTGTTTCCTTATTCATTCACTCAAACAATAGTATTATACACACCATAAACAAATAACCATCTATTATCAAAACCATAATGATATCCTTGTCTAAATAAAGCAAGAAAAGAAATAATGTTCCACCCCATTTCCAGCGAATAACAACAATTATACAAATCAACCCTAATACTATCAAACATAAGCTTATAAGTCCCAATCCTGGTAATAGTCGATCTTCACTTGTTCTCCATGATCAAGTTTAGCTTCCCATGCTCGACCTATTCACTTTCCTTTATTCCCTTCATATCAGACCAAATGTGGAAATCACATCCTGTATCAAGAACCCAAGAATTTGAAATGCAAGTATTGTTGACTTGAATAGAATACGCACCAAAAGAAGAGCCAATAGCTTTGGACTTGGCATCTTTCACTTCCTGCAAGTACTTAGATCAGCTTTTTCTCCAATGGCCCTTTTGGCCACAATAAAAGCACACAACCTCTTTTGGACCAGCAACAGGAGGAGCGTTAAATTTGGGCTTTACTTTAGATCCACTAAACTCTCCATGGTGAGCCTTCCATTTCCATTTGGATTAGGAAGCGACCTTTATCTTCTTTCCTCTGCTTTTTGGACTACCATGACAAGAGCAATTGCAGAATTATTTGAATGAGATTTCTTTATTCCCGCTTCAGCCGTTTGCAACATATTGTGAAGCTCAATCAACGTAGTCTCTGTATTGTTCAAATGATAGGTCAATAATTCATCCAAAAACCAAACAACTTTCTACTTTCCTGGTCATCTACCCATACACTATCCAAACTATTGGTTGTAATTATATACCATCAACCATAAATACCTTGTTTGATCATGCACACTTCACGGACACTTCAACCACATCCCAATAAATGCAATGAACAAAACAAAGTTCACACACTTAGCAGTTCCCAAGTAAGTCTTCATCACAGTGTTTTTCTTCATCAACTCCATCAACTGTCTCTCAAACACTTCCTTCTCTGCTTCCATAGCTTGCTATAGCTTAACCACCTTCTTTTGAGCCTTCAAAACTTCATTGAAGTCTTCCTTTCTGCGCAGCTCAAACCTCATCTTACAAAGATGCTCTTTGTAATACCCCTCCTCCTTTGCATCGTCTTTCCACAGAAAAAACTTACATTTTGGACCTTCAGCTGGCTGATTAAAAAGGAAGACGACAATTAGGGTTACGATTAAGGAAAAGGTGTACATTTCCAGCTCAAGATACCAAATAGAGTGTAATTAAACAGAAGAAATACTAACCAAAGAGTTTTTGTAGTTCCAAAACCTTCGAGTTACGTATCGTCAGTCTAGGCAGTCCTTTCGACGCTTATTCCATCTTTACAGTTACAAGGTGGACATGCTTCATCATCGCGATGGATTCCGACACGCAGGAGGTTGGTCGATCGACCGGAGGAGGCAGACATTGCTCTGGTTATATCGATTGAGTAGAGGGTATCGGTGTGACCTAATTTGGGGTAAGAATGTATCCTTTATGGTTCCAATGAGGTTCCATTTAAGGAAAGTTTCCACCGTATACAATGACATGGTCAAATGATAGTCCACATAAGCCAAGACACGTCAACGGTGTCCCGTAAACCGGAAACATTTTCTCCTAATCCCTTAATTAGCTGTTATTTACTAACATTAAGGGCCAATTGAGCATAAAAAAACGTTAATGACTAAATATGCAAATTAGTCAAACATTGTTGTGCTACAGTGAAGAAAAAAAAAAAAAAAAAAAAGCTATGGTATTTGTATCTTGGATTCATTTTGTATCGTATCAAAATTAATTTGCACATTTTGATCTATTTCTAATCCCTAATATTGGGAAAGATCTTTTACATGTACAAAAATATCTTATTGCCAAAGGAAAGGTTCCTCCTGAAAAGCGTATCAAAAAACGTCTAACCTAAGATCCCAAATCAAAATCAGCCTTAATCCCCATTGTTGTAATCAAGTGGAGCTTGACGATGATGCAGAACGAAGATTGATTTAAATTTGCGTTCAGATGATCAACTGGAGTCGAATTTACGGCAGTATTTATAGAAAATGATCAACGAGAGTCGTAACAAAAAATCACTCCATTCTCGCTATGTCAAGGTTCTTTTATTTTTATTTTGTATTCAAATTACTTATTCCCTGCTTCCATTTCATTAGGGCTATGTATTATTGAAGAGATTGCTGTTAAAATCTCGAGTCATGAAACATTTAGGGTTTCTACATTAGAGCTCCGACATTAAGAACATAAACGGTCTTGTGATGGCATTTTTAACTATGGCAACATCAGCATACAGCTAAATTTCGTTTGTGAACTATATTTTGCTTAGCTATTAAGCTAGGGTTTCACTTTATTCCTTTTTGTTATGTAGACTTTAGTTCATGTTCTTGTATAAAATTTGCATCTGGGTATTCTTAGCTAGAATTTGCAAATACCATCATCGTCTTCTCAACTTATAAGGTTCTTGAACATGCATCCCTACAATGATTAATACCACTTCATTAATCACAATCAAATAATGATTTCATTAAATGTAAAATCATCTACGTTTCGTTAGCCATAAACAGCTGATTATACAGTTATCTACCTACATGCTCTATTCTTTTAGGGTTAAACACAAGAAATAACAACTTTCTTTCATTTTTTTTGTTCATATCATCCTACTTTCACTTCTATAATTGAGTAAACTGTTCAAACTACAATACTATAATCATCTGAAACTGACTTCATTATTTCAACACAGGCTCTTGGGGTTCAGAAACATTAAAAGAATTGTGCAATCAATTCGAACAAACAACTCAAGAATCCAATCAAAAGATGGGAACCACAAATCAGTCGATAAAATCGCTCTGTTTTCCTCACAACCCACATTCCCTTCTAAACAACGTACTTTCTTTTCCCGAAATACCCCTGGTTCATTTTACAATGAGAAACCACTATCTCCCATACTCAAAATCTCCCGAGCATTTTACTTTATCACTAACCCACTCTTATATAGTCATTCCTGGTATAATACTATACAAAAACACAGCATTAGCAAAAACCAGAACAAATCTTGAATCTTTTCAACCAAGAAACAACACTCTTTACATAGAAGATGGACATGCCCTTTTAGTTTCATCAATCTTATCACTTTTTGAATGCTTCATATTACTAATTCGCGCATTATATTTAGCAATTTTGTTCTCCCCCACCATAACCACAGCTCCATTCGCCGAATACTTCGGTGATTCCTCAAGAAAAAAATGGCTAAAACTCGTTCGTAGGACATTAGAAATCGCGGGGTCCTGCTTTTATAAAATGGGGTCAATGGGCTGCAACAAGGCCCGATCTTTTTCCTAGAGACATATGCACAGAACTTTCAAAACTTCACACAAAAGCCCCTGAACATTCATATGCGTACACTAAAAAGACAATTGAAAAAGCTTTTGGGCGTAAAATTCACGAGATATTTGACGATTTTGAAGAGGTTCCGGTAGCTTCCGGAAGCATTGCTCAAATTCATCGGGCGAAATTAAAATTAAAATCACACGGTAAGAAAACGGTGAAGCCGTTAGTGGTGGCTGTAAAAGTTAGGCATCCGGGGGTGGGTGAATCGATTAGGAGAGATTTTGAGATAATTAATGTTGTTGCAAGAATTTCTGGGTTTTACCAACTTTGAAATGGTTAAGGTTAGATGAAAGTGTTCAACAGTTTGCTGTTTTTATGATGTCACAAGTGGATCTTGCACGTGAAGCTGCTCATTTGAGTCGATTTATTTACAATTTTAGAAGATGGAAAGATGTTTCGTTTCCAAAGCCTGTTTATCCACTTGTACATCCTGCTGTTTTGGTTGAAACTTTTGAACAAGGTGAAAGTGTTGCGTTTTATGTTGATGAGCTTCAAGGACACGAGAGGCTTAAAAGTTCTCTTGCTCATATCGGGACCCACGCACTTCTCAAAATGCTTCTGGTAAGCAAGGGTATATTCGTAATTTTACACGGAACTTTGATAATCAATTTTGTCGGTAGTTTTACGATTGTGTTGTGTTTTCAGGTGGATAATTTCATACATGCGGACATGCATCCTGGGAATATTCTAGTACGAAACAAATCATCGAGGAAAGGGATATTTAAATCAAAGCCACATGTTGTGTTTCTTGATGTTGGAATGACTGCGGAACTTTCCGGAAGCGATAGAGTCAATTTGTTGGAGTTTTTTAAAGCGGTTGCAAGGCGAGATGGTGACACTGCAGCCAAAAGCATGTTGAGGTTATCAAAGCAGCAGAATTGCCCTAATCCACAAGCATTTATAAAGGTAATATATAAATTTAATTTTTAGTTTTTTTTTTAAAGTATAAATTGTGTAATATGTAGAAATGAAAGTATGTTGCTATTATAGGAAGTCAAGGAGTCGTTTGACTTTTGGGGTACTGAAGAAGGCGACATTGTACACCCTGCTGATTGCATGCATCAATTGTTAGAGCAAGTAAGGCGTCATCGAGTCAATGTTGATGGAAATGTATGCACTGTGATGGTTACAACTTTGGTTCTTGAGGTATATTTATTACCAAATTACCCTTTTATTGTTACGTGAATAGACACGAATACCCTTGTTCTTTTTGTGATTGTAGGGTTGGCAAAGGAAGCTTGATCCGGATTATGATGTTATGCATACGCTACAAACTTTGTTGCTAAAAGAAGATTGGGCAAAATCACTAACCTACACGATAGAAGGATTAATGGCCCCATAAACTTGATTTAAAGAAAAATTTTGGAAACATAAAGTGTTCATAGTTGTTCAAACAATATCTTGATTGGTTTAATCTTTTTTCCAATTGTTGAACTTTTGTAGATGAATTTTTGAGTTTATGAAAGCAAAATACTGGCAATGAATTTTTAGTTATAAATAAAGATTGTTTCATAGAACAGAGACAGAAAACAAACACATTGAATGGAACTGAAAGATAAAAGTTTCATTGACCATAAACTTGATTTAAAGAAAAATTTTGGAACATAAAGTGTTCATAGTTGTTCAAACAATATCTTGATTGGTTTAATCTTTTTTCCAATTGTTGAACTTTTGTAGATGAATTTTTGAGTTTATGAAAGCAAAATACTGGCAATGAATTTTTAGTTATAAATAAAGATTGTTTCATAGAACAGAGACAGAAACACAAACACATTGAATGGAACTGAAAGATAAAAGTTATCATTGACCATAAACTTGATTTAAAGAAAAATTTTGGAAACATAAAGTGTTCATAGTTGTTCAAACAATATCTTGATTGGTTTAATCTTTTTTCCAATTGTTGAACTTTTGTAGATGAATTTTGAGTTTATGAAAGCAAAAATACTGGCAATGAATTTTTTAGTTATAAATAAAGATTGTTTCATAGAACAGAGACAGAAACACAAACACATTGAATGGAACTGAAAGATAAAAGTTATCATTGACCATAAACTTGATTTAAAGAAAAATTTTGGAAACATAAAGTGTTCATAGTTGTTCAAACAATATCTTGATTGGTTTAATCTTTTTTCCAATTGTTGAACTTTTGTAGATGAATTTTTGAGTTTATGAAAGCAAAATACTGGCAATGAATTTTTAGTTATAAATAAAGATTGTTTCATAGAACAGAGACAGAAACACAAACACATTGAATGGAACTGAAAGATAAAAGTTATCATTGACCATAAACTTGATTTAAAGAAAAATTTTGGAAACATAAAGTGTTCATAGTTGTTCAAAACAATATCTTGATTGGTTTAATCTTTTTTCCAATTGTTGAACTTTTGTAGATGAATTTTTGAGTTTATGAAAGCAAAATACTGGCAATGAATTTTTAGTTATAAATAAAGATTGTTTCATAGAACAGAGACAGAAACACAAACACATTGAATGGAACTGAAAGATAAAAGTTATCATTGACCATAAACTTGATTTAAAGAAAAATTTTGGAAACATAAAGTGTTCATAGTTGTTCAAACAATATCTTGATTGGTTTAATCTTTTTTCCAATTGTTGAACTTTTGTAGATGAATTTTTGAGTTTATGAAAGCAAAATACTGGCAATGAATTTTTAGTTATAAATAAAGATTGTTTCATAGAACAGAGGACAGAAACACAAACACATTGAATGGAACTGAAAGATAAAAGTTATCATTGACCATAAACTTGATTTAAAGAAAAATTTTGGAAACATAAAGTGTTCATAGTTGTTCAAACAAATATCTTGATTGGTTTAATCTTTTTTCCAATTGTTGAACTTTTGTAGATGAATTTTTGAGTTTATGAAAGCAAAATACTGGCAATGAATTTTTAGTTATAAATAAAGATTGTTTCATAGAACAGAGACAGAAACACAAACACATTGAATGGAACTGAAAGATAAAAGTTATCATTGAGAAGCATACAAATGTACAACTGTACAAACTTTTATCACATCTAAAGTGTCGAATCAGAACTCTAGAGCAACAATGGAGGGGACAAAAATGGCGTCCATGGTGAAGCTGTTGGGTTGGGTTGGGTTATTAATCCTGTGTCTTCTTTGATTGCGATCAAAGAGACATGTTATCTGCAATATTAAATTAAGTTGTATTAATAATGGGATTAACAGAAAAAAAATGAATATAAAATAACTAACAAAGTAAAAGAGCAGGAGTACCTTTTGGCTATTTTTTTTTTGCCATTTTTTAGCTTCATTTCCAGATCACCAGCTTCATCTTCATCCTGATTCAGAGTCCTCATGAACATCTTCAATTTAAATTTCTTTTTCAAGAAAAAATTGAAGCCAAAAACGCACTTGCCTTCTTCCAAACTCCATTATTTCAAATCAAGAACACCTACAACACAAAATTAATTAAAGTTACGATTATCTGATTACTTTCAGGGTCAATATTTAATTACAAACATATACCCTAATTTTATGTATTACTTCCTTAATAAATCACAATTTGTCAAACACTTAACACCATCAGTAGTGATTATTACAATTGTATGATAATGCAATCTCATACACTACATTTTCTTACAACTAATTATTCAGTAGCACAAAGTTATTGTTAAAACACACATCCAAACAAATTAGAAGAAGCAAGTTAGAAGTCACTGCAAGAAAGCAGCTTTTTGAGGATAAATGCATAATGACCAAACTATCCCTAATTTCAATTAAAAAGATAAGTCTGATTCTGATTCTTGAGGTTGCAATAATCACTTCAAAAAAGCAATCCAAACACCCCTTTGGAAACCTATATGAAACTAGAGAACATAATACATGTTACCATTAATGATTAAACTCTAACAAAGAAGTAAAAAAAATAAAAAAAGTTTTAACACAAGTCTACTAAAACTTGAAGAAAATGCAAGAAAGTATCACTAGATTATGTGTATTCACATTTAGCAACAAATATTGATTAACTTAGCATAACAATTCAACAATAAATGCAACAAAGATGATTAATGTCTAATTAGCATTTATCTAAATAATATGCTAAAGGATCCATGCTTTAAATATTTATGATTGTTCTATTTTTCTTTAACTCGATTAGCATAATACTCACATGTGTTCCATAATAAGTATCCGTTGGTTTTGAGGTTCAACGAAAGAGATTATTCAAATACAAGAAACATAAATCTACTTGATTTTTATGTAAAATTGTATGGATAAAAAAAGTTTTCTTTAAAATATTGTAAAAAATCATATGGGTAAAAAGCAAGAATAGCAATGTACTTTCATAGATTTGTTTATTATAGCATCCAACTTTCATTTCCTCTTATTACAACATTATACTTTGAAAACTCTACCCAATTATAACAATAATATAATTGGATAGATTTTTCAAAATACAATTGTCATTATAAAGAAATCATTTGCAATTTCTTGCATTTAATCATTTGCAACATTTGACTCGACAAGTGATTTTATAAGAGTGACTATTAATCGGAAACACGTTCTACCAATGACAAAATTAGGAAACTTTTTCAGACCAAATTTGTTATTAACAAAAAAAATTGCTAGAAAACAACAAATTGCAATTTCTTTGGGATAGAGGGAGTATAAAAGTGGATACTTATTATGGAACAAAACAATACGACTCATGAATAAAAAGCATGGAGTATACTAATATAAACATGGGCCCTAAACTACAAAACCAATCTATATATATATACAAAATAAACATAAAGCATTCAATGCAACATTTTTGTTATGATACCATGTTTGTATCATCTGCACAATCGGGTGATCTACAGTGGATCATGAACATTGAATATCATCCTCCCGTTTTGATATCTGCAGATTTTGGATTATTGGTTTTAAAAATTGGGATTTTATAAACCAAATTTTGTTAAAGAAATAACAAGAAACATGCTTTTTGCTACTTACATCACATGGTGAGATTTGATCATATGCCAAGTTTTTAACTAGTAACTCTTCATCTCTACTCCTCTACTTTGTCACTAATTCTGGAATTGAAAAGAAGTCAAAGATTGAGTCAGGAAAAGTCCAGGTGATTATAAAATGAATATATATATATATATATATATATATATATATTATATTATCGATTTAGCCATTTAACTTAAATTAATGTAAAATAAAATATTTATTCTTATTATTATAATTCGTTTCAAAAGGTACATCCTCAAAATGAGATTCAATCTTACACAGGGTTCATGATGCTACTTTAAAATGAATGCATCAACCAATAAAGACAAAAATATTGATATGCATTAATAACAGATGAATACAAAACTTAAAATCTAACATACAAATAATACAATGCAGGATTCATGTTGTTAAGAGACTCTTAACTGGTATTAATGCAGAAAGAATCTCTTAATAGAAAAAGCCAGGAAAATGAAGTTTTCCACATTAAGTCCTAACCTTTTTACAAATTTACCCTTTGTTGTTTTTTTTTCTTCCATTTCCTGAACTCTCTCATCATTTTCTCAAATATTTTTTTAAACATCATTTATCCAAACAACACTAAACAGGAAAAAAGAACATAGTCCTTACTCTGCTTGTGATACTTTCCTGATTTCTTCAACTGCAGCATTTACACTATGAATAGTCATTTTCTTGACCTAAAAACCAATTTTGGAATTAGTCATGTCATTTCAAAAAAAAAAAAAAAAAACTACAAATTAGAAGATTAACTATTGAAATATAATAATATATACCTCCAGCATTTTTCCTTTTGCTTTGTGATTTACTGGAAGTTGACGGATTTCATCACTCAACTTGATGCCCATCGATGCACTTTCAGGTGAGATGAATTCAAGAACCACATTAACACATGACTGCATCAACATTTCTTAGGATCAACAAAAAGATTCACACAAGCATATGATAATGATTGCATGAAACAAAAAAACTAAACATATAGTGTTTACATGATTCAACAACTTGCCCAAATTGAAATAAGTATAAATGATTAAACACTTAAGTGGATAAATCGATATATAATGGCAAAAGTTCAAGTGCTTTTCTTTATTTTAACCTATGACAAACAAAAGAATCATACCTTAATTTTCTTTACTTGATAGGGGCATCCAGCTGGAATGATGACAGCTTCACCAATACGTTGTTCAAATGTCCATGGTTCCACATCTGTTTAAATTGTATTAGTAAAAACACAATGAAGTAAATAGAACTTAACACTATTTTATAAATGTTTTAGAAACTATAAGTTACAAGAAGGTGTGATGATAAAGTCACAAAACTTACCGAATTCTTCCTTGAGATACTTCTTATGGAAAGCATCCAAGTAGAAGCTCTCATCAAGAATCGGATGAACAACCTATATGGAAGAGAAAGCAAATTTGTAAAAAGTTAGGACTTGATAGGAAAACTGAAAAGTCACTTTTATGTAAGTTTCTCTATTA